GCTACCCGATATCTCGTTCGGTCCACCAAGGAGACCCATTAGCCCCCTCAATATTCCTATTTGTAATGGAGGCAATCGCTTCCTTCTCATGTAAAGACCCTTCAATTCAAAGACTAGCTAGCACAAAAGTAGGTTCAGCCCACCAACTGGACTTTCCCGCTGCGATCATGTTTGCAGATGACCTCACGGTATTAATTAGAGCATCGGATTCCTCCTTCCAAACACTAGTCAAAGCAATGGAAGCATTCAGACTAGCATCAGAAATGAAGATCAACTGGGGGAAAACGATTGGCTGGTGGTTCTCCGAGGATGAACCCCTCTCTCTCCAAGGAGAGGAAGCGGCTATGACTTGGCAAACGCCGGACACACCCACTCGTTATCTAGGCATCCTAATGACGAAGGATGGATTGGCGCCTCAAATGGGCCCTGACCAAACAGATTAATAAAATGGGAAGATGGAGCAACACTTTCTCTTCCCTTATTGGTCGGGCACTAATCCTCAATACGTCGATCTTCTCAATGATGTGGTATATTGCCTCCATTTGGACAGTTCCTGACAGTTCAGTTAAAGAGCTGAACAGAAAAGCTAGAGTGTTTCTATGGACAGGAGACCCCAACAAAGATAAGTGCATACCCAAAATAGCCTGGCACTACGTTACAAGATCGCCAAGCAAGGGAGGTCTAGGAATTATTGACCCTGGAACAGAAACAAAGGACCTACAATTCAAATGGATCATTAAACTACTGATGTATCCGGAAAGCGCTTGGAACAAACTAGCCTTGGACAGAATCAGATCAGTAGCCCCAGTACCCTCCCTGAATGATATGTCCGGTCTGTTTTGGGTCATGAACAAAGAATGGGTGATAACGACAGGACGAAGGAATCGAACAAGGAACACCAGACCAGAAGTCAACCGACCACCTACGCCTTATTGGCTGGCACTTCTTCATTCATGGAGGAAAATTATTCCTAACAAAACCAACAGACCGAGATCCAAGGATGAAGTACTAAGACAACCGCTCTTTGGGAATGAATGGTTAACAAACGAGGCTGATAACCCCCTCTTCCTTGAGCAGAGGTGGTTATCGTGGATCAAGAATGGCATATGGAAGCCTGGCCACTTATGGAACCCAATCCAGGATTACACGGTTAAACTTGGCTACAAACTAACTCTGAAAACAAAAGATCCTGACCCGATCATCAAAAACAGATGGAGGAACTTAGTAGGCCAGGAAGCAGACAAAATCACTCAAATCCACTGGGAAAAATTTAAAAGCATCAGACCAGTCAAGATCAGAAGTTTGCAATGGCTAATTGTTTATGTAGCACTACAGGTAAACCAATGGCTACACACCAGACGGAAAGCCTCAGACCCAGATAGTTCAGAGCAATGTACAGTCTGCAATGAAGGACCGGTAGAAGATATTGTTCACTGCCTAGTCCGATGTAGAGAAGCAACCGAATACTGGACGAGAGCCCTATCACTCTGGGAATCCCTCTTCTCATCGCCCTTCCCCAGCCACCCCATCCAACTTCTCCTCTTAACTAACATCCCTTTCCAAGCACGAAATGCAGAGAGGATCTGGTTCGAACTCATCAGGAAAGTGACCCTTTGGGACATTTGGAAGGAGATGCAGCAGAACAATTGAAGGACACTCCAATCCAAGGGAGAAGGTATGGACAGAAACCAGAACAATGATTCAAGCTGAGATTCTTTGCAGATGGCGGAAGGTTAAACAAAGGGGGATAGAAGATGAAGAACAGCGGAAGAAGGAGAGGCTGAGATTTTGCAAAGATTGGCTGGTAAATGGCAAGATTGCAGAATTGCGAGAAGATCGGCTTTGCTGGAAGGGATGGCACAACTCAATTTCGGAAAGGGCCTCTCAACAACAGGCAACGTCTGAAGACCTAGTCGCTTAGTAAGATGTAAGGTACCAAGCAAGGACAATGATGCACCAAGAAAGAAAGGAGGACAATGTTCGAGGTCACGAAGAGACTGCTATTCTCGGCCAACTTCCTAAACGGTCCATCGTAGGGCAGGCGCCCAGGCGGAGGGTTTAGGGTTTAAGGCTGGCCGACAAGTACACCCAAAGGGTCAGGAAGGCGGTGAGAAAGGAAACAGGTTGACTAGAGTATTGGAGGGACTCTTTCTAGATACAATGATGATATCTGACAGATCTGAACATCGGGTCTGAGAGGAGAGAGAGGGATAGGGCAAGCTGACAGTCAATC